ACTTCGATTACATGCTGGCGAACTCTTTCGGATGAAGCGCGATGGCCAGCATCAGTATCCTGGCCAGCATCAGTACCAATCTGTAGGCACCACCCCAGGGGTTGTTTTCCGCCTCATCGCAGAGACGCAGGAAGCAGTCCCCCTTCGCATCTCTGATTACCGTTTTTCGGCGACCCAAGTGGAGCCGCGTGCCCGGTCATTTGCCTCCAAGCGCGAAGGCAGCTGGTCTGGGTGTCAAGTCGCTCCACCGGAACATATGCTTCTGGTTATTCCGAAATGCCTCTCTTTGCCGCATATTCTGGTCGCAGGTATGCTCCACCAGGGTTGCGACTCTATTCGCTGTCTCGGTAGCTCCACCCGCTGCCATACCATCCAGCGCGCCGGCGAATGCTTGGGTAGCGTGTCCGGTCGGTCCCCTTTGGTGGGTGCTCCCACGAAGCACAGAATCGCTTTATGGTCGCTTCCAGCATTATGAGAGATTGCAATGCTGGCAAAGGCAGGTCTATAATAAAGGCTGCTCGTGCTCTAGGAAAGGTGTGCCGCGCTTCGTCGTTCAGCAGCACGACGTCTGTCTAACGCCTCCAGCACCTCCAGCGTTGAAATCGCATCAAATTATCATGTTGGAGCTCCCGCATACATCGCAGCTCACGGCGTCCACGATCCGGCAGAAAGCTCCCAGCGGAAGGCTTGGAGTCAGGTAGCGGCTATAGATACAATCCGCCCTCACGAATCCATCGGCAGCAAGAACGCTGGACATTGGCCGCTTCTTGTCTCCGCAGAGCCTAAGAACCACCTTGCCGGTAAGGTCCTTGGCCCACTCAGATCCCCCCTGCCTTATATGGTTCGCTGAGGATACGCACGTCTTCAGCAGCAAGTCTTGCGCTGCTCTGGAGTACTGAAACCATTGCATGCCGTCCTTGGGGGGCCAGCACCTCCGTTCCTGACCAATCTGCCATTGCTGCCGGGTCGATAGTTGGCCTCTCCGGAACCGGCTCCTCTGCCTGGAGGGCTCCCTGTCTCCATTCTCTGCGTGCTCTGCGGGTCTGCCTTCTTTTCTTGACCACTGTGCTCCACAATTCCGCGACAGTCACGGGCTCGGCTTCAGAACTTTCTGCATTCCCTTGCCGACGATCCTGTACCCTAAGCATCGGTGGGGAAGCTGGCCCAGCCTTATTGGCACCGCTCCTCGGTGCTGTGGGGCTGTGGCCTAGATTGGAGGAGCTCGCCTCTGCCTGGAGACGTCTCTACTACCGACTAGGCCTTCAGGTCTCTGCCCCTCTTGGCTGAGTCCGTGGGATCGTCGTATCCTCTTCAGCGCTGGAAATGGCCCGAGTGGTGGGAATTGGGCCATCAGACTGCTGGGCCTGCTGCCAGGCTTGATCTTCTGCCGACCTCTATTTCACAGACGCAGATCACGTAGCCACTCATTATGGGACAGACGCTACGTAGAGGGTTAGGGAGGGACGGCATGTGCACTAGCGAGATCACTCGTTGGCCGAAGAAGAAGAGTGAAATGGTAGCAACATTTAAAGATTTGTTAGGAAGGAAATACTTAGACCTATTTTATAGACATGTATGTATTTTTGTCTTTTTGTTATTTTTCTTAGACACCAAGGATCGACTGAATTCGATCGCGAACAAGTGTTCAAGTACAAAACAAAGTACAACATCATGTCGTCATAAACACCCGAGTGTCGTTAAAACACCCAGGTCATAAATGTGTGTTTTACGCATAACCCTTTTTTTTAATCTGGTTGTTGTTTCTTACTGTTTGCTTGCTCTGACATTCGTTTTGAGTGCGTGTGCTCCGTAATGACCGTGTGCTTAGCACACAGAGTGTGGGTGCTTATCTTTTACTTTGATGCTTGGTGGTAGGTGGCACTCAAATGTAGTTAGGTGTGAGTAGAGTGCTAAAAATGCCACACTCGCAGTTATATGATTTCCAGCCGGAAATCGGAAACCGTACTATGGTCAAACTAACGAAAATGAATTGGGAAATCATGTCTCATGCTTCATGCTACTTTCTGATAATCATGTTTCGAATACCGCACAACAATTGGAATTTAATTCGACGGGATATACCTCAGTACATTGATGGTAGATTGGCTAAATCAGAAAATACACACATGCTGATTCAGCAGTTTTAGTGCAACGAGAAATACAGTGACATCCGCCTGAAATAAGGTACAAAAAACGGGAGTCGTAATAAGAAGACCCGTTTAGTTTATAATCCACTATAGTATATTAGTCTAGTTCCAAGTATATCAGGTCAGGTTAGGTTAGTCCTGGCGGCCCTCACGGGGCCACGCATTGGCCAACATGGCCCTTAGTTATTCGGGAAATTTCTGGATATAGAATATTTGCGCGGGTTTAGAGGTCCTTGAAGGTCAAGATGTTCTTCGAAAAGGCAAGTAGTTCACCTGGCTTCCTCCTGGAGGCATCTCCCTACATCTTTCCTGATGTATAAGTCCAGCAGTTTTTCTAGCGTTTTAAATAGAAATGAGGTGAGGCTGTAATCCTGCTTTGGGCAGGAAGACAATCCGAGAGGTCCATCATTGGATATAGCTGTATACATTGCGTAGAGCCATGGGGTGATCACTTCTTTGGTCACCTGTAACATGGCTAGGAATATTCTATGTCTTCCTTCCAAGTAAACGGACGTGTTTTGTTTTTTTGCGGTTATAGTTATTTACTTAATCTCACGCTTTCCCGCTCTTTCAGTGCCGCTGCACTTAATCCCTTGCCCCCTCTCTTATCAACTGAAGTATAGTGGTTAGTCGTTACAATGTGTCACAATATAGTCTTCTTTGCTAAAAACTGCAAGAAATATATTTCCTATGGTGAACTTACCGGCATAGCGACATAAGTCCGCGCTTCATATCTCCGCCTGTCGTTTTCAAGCGACATAACTCCGCGCCGAAAAATGTACATTATATCGCTCAGAAAGAGATCTAAAAAAAATATATTTATAGATTTTTTTAAATGTATCACTTCGTTAAATATAAACAAGAAAGGAAGCTAACTTCGGCACGCCGAAGTTTGTATACCCTTGCAGATTGCAATTGGGTCATTAAAAATCGAGCCATTCGGATTAAATAATTAAAAAAAATAATAATAAAAGAAAATATATTAAAGTTGTATATTTATACATAGCATAAATAAAATGCTGAAAACACAAAATAGAGTTTTATAACATTTTACCTATACTTATTATGTTTACAGTTTTACAGTTACAGAATTCGATTACCAGCTTTACATTTTCTCTACATTTACCGATAGCTTCTATTGGAGCTATATAATATTGTTGTCCGATTTTCATAAAATTGTAAGGTAGTTTCGACGGCTGGGTTAAAACTCAGTCACGCTATGGTCTCTTTACAGAAAAATTTATAAAGGTCTGGGACAAAAAGGTCTTTGACGAAACGGTGGGCTGACGTGAGATGTATAGTTCAGCCACCGGGATACTGAGTGAGAAAAGTAATTGATTCGGTATTGGCAGAAGAGCGAAAAGGGTCAGCGGTAACGCGTATTGGGTCTGGCTCATGTAATGGTTGCCTACACTGAAGAAAAATTGATCACTTACAGTGTAAGTTAACTGAATCAGGCAGCAGTGTATACAGCGGAACGGGACCCTCTTGTTGTTTCTAGCTCTTCCGGGATGGGGGGGTTATTGCTGTTACTGCTTCCGACATTACACGAAGAATTATTTATAGAGTCCCTATCTGAAACTAATAAGCCATCTGATCATGGCTGAAATATTCAGGCTAACTGCCTACAAAAGAAAATCAGAGAAAATCTCCAACTCCGGGACGACAATAATGATGAAAAGGGAATATGTCTAGCACCAGGATCTGTTCGTGGTGTCTTAGCTGTTGTTTGACACACACAGAGTCGCTACCCACCCTACCAATGCCTTTGTACTTTAAGTGTTAGCAAAGACCCCATATTGTAGCTGATCAAAACATTTAAATCCCCAGGTCACGAGATGATTGCATCTACTCCATCATGATATTACTGATTCGATATGACATACTGCATTATTTATTTAAATAATTTCAATAGAAAAGTAACTTAAAGAAATTCTGGTTAATGACATAATAATTTCGAATGTTCGTTTTAATTAATTTGCTTCTTTTCATTTTTTAATTTAAAACAACTCAGTTGCGATTCATTTATGCTTTCATTGTGACTACAAATGTTTTTAAACGAGGACTTAATGATTAGTTTCTAATTCATTTGTATTGTATTTACATATTTTCTGATAAAGTTAGCGAAAAGCAGAATAAAACTACGCGTTCCTAATCATAATTCAAATATTTAATCTTCATAATTACGTTGGTGCTGGTAGCAATAGAGATCTGCAATGCATACACTAGCCAAGAATATAGCAAAACAAACGCATACCGAGAATTAAGATTTGGTAATGATCATTATATACTCAATAAGAGCGCGGCTAGAGGAGCATTTATACGCAATTAGAAGTGTCCAGAATCTGGCAGCCCAAAACAAAGCAAACAGAAAAGAATAACGAACAGAGTTTACGGCTCTTCACGGTAGCCGCGGTGGTTTTGGCTGATCATATCATGTCACATTAAATTGGTATTTATATATATATATATCCATTTTGGATCACTTACCCCATCCGATTCTCGTTGAAGGCCTTCACGATGACGTGGATGACGAGCTGTTAGCGTGTGTTTAAAGGATTGTTAATTTAATGCAACATAAATGATTCGTTTGATCGACCCTGCTTATCGCGTTCTTTATGTCTGGTTGTGCGGGTTTTTAGGGCACATGAACCTAGGTCAAGTTTACGCAATCGCGTTCGCTTAGCTAGCGCATGCACTCTAGATACATACTACAGTTTTCCGAGGCTCAAACGAGCCAGATGCGACCGAAATCTGATTAAAAAATCCGAAACTTTTACAGTTGCATAAAACCTAACTAAATCTGCACTCCGGATCTAATGCCGATTTTGTTTATTTCTGGAGGAGTTTACTCCGATCCTACGCCTTCGTCACGCTCTGGCCGAAAATTGTGGTCCCTGGCCACAACGTTTGTCGTCTCCCTTCCTCTGCCGCAGCTGGCGAAGCGCGGAAAGGAAAATTAAGTAATCCCACGCCGATGACGTAATCGGGGCTCCTGGCCACCGAACAGATTCGCGGGCAGGGTCGCAAAGGTTTTCGCTTCACCCTTGGCAATATTCCGCTTGCCCTTATAGGAAGGTTCGACTAGAAAAAACAACCGTGGTTACGGAGAGAGCTTTCAGTCGTATAAGAAAACTATTTACCGACAGAGGATGATGCAGAGTAAACTGCGGTACGCTTGAGCGTGGAGCTCCAGAAAGTTCCTTAGCCTGTATGTAGGCTTGCAAGCCGAGAAGGCACGCAGTATTGCGCTGTCTCTATATGAAACCAATATTAATGCAAGTGCAAATGGCTTGAAGTTTCAAAATAATTACCCAAAACCGGTGCGCGACACTGGCGGATGGTTAACTGGTCGGATGCAACGGCCGATGCCTTGTATTTAATTGGCAAATGGACACGTGGCACTTGTGTATTAATTTCGCTCACAGATCGACACTTCTGTAGCGTTCGGCGTTGCAGCGAAAAAAGGAAGAAGGCGGATGTTTTGATCGTGTCGGAAATGATGCTTAATCGATAAATTCGTGCTGTCATCTGTCAATTTCGCACAGCTGATTGTGATCGACTAGGGCTGGAGAATAAGATATGACTATCGTAAGGCGCGTATGTCAAATCTTTTGAATTTTACAACGTTAACCTTTTTGTCCAATGCTGCCCATTACAACCACAGATAATCTGGCAAGTAATCGCAGACACGATTAGCTGGAATCAGCTTCGTATATCCTTTGCGTGGTAGGTTCCTATCTCCTTTCCTGCTAACGTTTCCAATAGATAAAACGAACTACCTAATTTCTTCTTAATTCGACACTTAGAAAATTGGTGTCCTAACTTCTTATTGTAATTCTGACTAAAATTACTTAAATGAAAGTTTCGCTTAAAGACTTCTTGACCTTCATTAAATACAATATGATTAGCTCTTACATTGTATTGTTTCACATTAGTTTCATATGCTTTACGACTATTCTTTTTGATTTCTTCGCGAATTAAAGCTAATTGGTCTACTCTATCCAATCAAGTCGATTCTTCTAATAACGATAATTGTTTCAATAGCTTATAATCAGATCCATGATTAATCATATTAAAACCAAAGAGAGCTTTATAAGGAGAACAACCTAAAGACTGATGTAATGCAGATCGAAGAGCAGACGAGATACTTGTCAAATTTACATCCCATTCTGTTTGATCTTCTCGAAGATATGATCGTATAGCTGCCAATAAAGAACGATTGACTCTTTCGGCCGCATTACTTTGCGGTGAATAAAGAGCTGTACAAATATGACGAATACCCCATTTGGTTATCATGGCCTCGAATTCGTTTGCCTTAAACTGGGATCCATTATCACTAATTATTGTCTCTGGTACTCCAAACTCACAAAAAATTCGCTCGCACAAGAAGTTATTAATGGCTGCCGTAGTGAACTTTTTAAGCGGACAGAGCCAATGATATCGGCTAAAATGGTCAAGTACAATCAGCAATCCAGTATAACCTCTTTTACTACGAGGATAAGGTCCGAGTATATCAACGTACAATCGTTGAAAAGTAATTGATTCGGTATTGGCAGAAGAGCGAAAAGGGTCAGCGGTAACGCGTATTGGGTCTGGCTCATGTAATGGTTGCCTACACTGAAGAAAAATTGATCACTTACAGTGTAAGTTAACTGAATCAGGCAGCAGTGTATACAGCGGAACGGGACCCTCTTGTTGTTTCTAGCTCTTCCGGGATGGGGGGGTTATTGCTGTTACTGCTTCCGACATTACACGAAGAATTATTTATAGAGTCCCTATCTGAAACTAATAAGCCATCTGATCATGGCTGAAATATTCAGGCTAACTGCCTACAAAAGAAAATCAGAGAAAATCTCCAACTCACAGGACGACAATAATGATGAAAAGGGAATATGTCTAGCACCAGGATCTGTTCGTGGTGTCTTAGCTGTTGTTTGACACACACAGAGGCGCTACCCACCCTACCAATGCCTTTGTACTTTAAGTGTTAGCAAAGACCCCATATTGTAGCTGATCAAAACATTTAAATCCCCAGGTCACGAGATGATTGCATCTACTCCATCATGATATTACTGATTCGATATGACATACTGCATTATTTATTTAAATAATTTCAATAGAAAAGTAACTTAAAGAAATTCTGGTTAATGACATAATAATTTCGAATGTTCGTTTCAATTAATTTGCTTCTTTTCATTTTTTAATTTAAAACAACTCAGTTGCGATTCATTTATGCTTTCATTGTGACTACAAATGTTTTTAAACGAGGACTTAATGATTAGTTTCTAATTCATTTGTATTGTATTTACATATTTTCTGATAAAGTTAGCGAAAAGCAGAATAAAACTACGCGTTCCTAATCATAATTCAAATATTTAATCTTCATAATTACGTTGGTGCTGGTAGCAATAGAGATCTGCAATGCATACACTAGCCAAGAATATAGCAAAACAAACGCATACCGAGAATTAAGATTTGGTAATGATCATTATATACTCAATAAGAGCGCAGCTAGAGGAGCATTTATACGCAATTAGAAGTGTCCAGAATCTGGCAGCCCAAAACAAAGCAAACGGACATATATACACTTACGCATACCCTATGTATTCCAGTCAATCCAACTTTGCAAACAACTAACCGATAAACCATTTTCTCACTCCTCTGATGATAGAAAATGAAGCTACTCTACAGCTCAAAAACCGATAGCGATACTTCGGTCGTCAGAGTTCACACTTGCAAACCTACGATATCCAGAAAGTATAAACTATAGTTATAATATGTACTGCAGACCACTCTTAATAATTTATCATTCGAAAACAAACGAGCTATCTATCTAGGGAGTTCGGTTGCTTTACTTTTATTGGTCGATCTTACTCAGCGCACGCAAATAATTCGATATCCGAACAAAAAAATAAAGTACCTCCTAGACATTTGGGCTTAAATAACTGAAATCTCTCGTTATGTAGGATTCAATTATCGCGGCCCCACGTTTGGGCGCCAAATACTTATGTAATGGTTGCCTACACTGTTATTATTTATTATTTATTTATAGAGTCCCTATCTGAAACTAATAAGCCATCTGATCATGGCTGAAATATTCAGGCTAACTGCCTACAAAAGAAAATCAGAGAAAATCTCCAACTCCGGGACGACAATAATGATGAAAAGGGAATATGTCTAGCACCAGGATCTGTTCGTGGTGTCTTAGCTGTTGTTTGACACACACAGAGTCGCTACCCACCCTACCAATGCCTTTGTACTTTAAGTGTTAGCAAAGACCCCATATTGTAGCTGATCAAAACATTTAAATCCCCAGGTCACGAGATGATTGCATCTACTCCATCATGATATTACTGATTCGATATGACATACTGCATTATTTATTTAAATAATTTCAATAGAAAAGTAACTTAAAGAAATTCTGGTTAATGACATAATAATTTCGAATGTTCATTTTAATTAATTTGCTTCTTTTCATTTTTTAATTTAAAACAATTCAGTTGCGATTCATTTATGCTTTCATTGTGACTACAAATGTTTTTAAACGAGGACTTAATGATTAGTTTCTAATTCATTTGTATTGTATTTACATATTTTCTGATAAAGTTAGCGAAAAGCAGAATAAAACTACGCGTTCCTAATCATAATTCAAATATTTAATCTTCATAATTACGTTGGTGCTGGTAGCAATAGAGATCTGCAATGCATACACTAGCCAAGAATATAGCAAAACAAACGCATACCGAGAATTAAGATTTGGTAATGATCATTATATACTCAATAAGAGCGCAGCTAGAGGAGCATTTATACGCAATTAGAAGTGTCCAGAATCTGGCAGCCCAAAACAAAGCAAACAGAAAAGAATAACGAACAGAGCTTACGGCTCTTCACGGTAGCCGCGGTGGTTTTGGCTGATCATATCATGTCACATTAAATTGGTGTTTATATATATATATCCATTTTGGATCACTTACCCCATCCGATCCTCGTTGAAGGCCTTCACGATGACGTGGATGACGAGCTGTTAGCGTGTGTTTAAAGGATTGTTAATTTAATGCAACATAAATGATTCGTTTGATCGACCCTGCTTATCGCGTTCTTTATGTCTGGTTGTGCGGGTTTTTAGGGCACATGAACCTAGGTCAAGTTTACGCAATCGCGTTCGCTTAGCTAGCGCATGCACTCTAGATACATACTACAGTTTTCCGAGGCTCAAACGAGCCAGATGCGACCGAAATCTGATTAAAAAATCCGAAACTTTTACAGTTGCATAAAACCTAACTAAATCTGCACTCCGGATCTAATGCCGGTTTTGTTTATTTCTGGAGGAGTTTACTCCGATCCTACGCCTTCGTCACGCTCTGGCCGAAAATTGTGGTCCCTGGCCACAACGTTTGTCGTCTCCCTTCCTCTGCCGCAGCTGGCGAAGCGCGGAAAGGAAAATTAAGTAATCCCACGCCGATGACGTAATCGGGGCTCCTGGCCACCGAACAGATTCGCGGGCAGGGTCGCAAAGGTTTTCGCTTCACCCTTGGCAATATTCCGCTTGCCCTTATAGGAAGGTTCGACTAGAAAAAACAACCGTGGTTACGGAGAGAGCTTTCAGTCGTATAAGAAAACTATTTACCGACAGAGGATGATGCAGAGTAAACTGCGGTACGCTTGAGCGTGGAGCTCCAGAAAGTTCCTTAGCCTGTATGTAGGCTTGCAAGCCGAGAAGGCACGCAGTATTGCGCTGTCTCTATATGAAACCAATATTAATGCAAGTGCAAATGGCTTGAAGTTTCAAAATAATTACAAAACCGGTGCGCGACACTGGCGGATGGTTAACTGGTCGGATGCAACGGCCGATGCCTTGTATTTAATTGGCAAATGGACACGTGGCACTTGTGTATTAATTTCGCTCACAGATCGACACTTCTGTAGCGTTCGGCGTTGCAGCGAAAAAAGGAAGAAGGCGGATGTTTTGATCGTGTCGGAAATGATGCTTAATCGATAAATTCGTGCTGTCATCTGTCAATTTCGCACAGCTGATTGTGCTCGACTAGGGCTGGAGAATAAGATATGACTATCGTAAGGCGCGTATGTCAAATCTTTTGAATTTTACAACGTTAACCTTTTTGTCCAATGCTGCCCATTACACTCATGGAACTCGCCACAAGGAGACCGAGAGAGGGGATCGATTATGGGAACACCTTTTCTAAGGCAAAATCTTCAGGCTAAAATCTAGGCATCGGATGTGCCTTCTTCAGCA